CAAGTCCGTTGAAGGAAAGTCAAGGTCATAGGGATCATAGTCATCATGGATCAATTATGAAGAAAAAAAAATGGTAGCAAAACATATTGACGACAAATGGAATAATGGAATAACACGGCAATTTATGTAAATGAGCAGATGACATCAACATTTAGGAACCTATTTTTCAAGACAAGCAATATAGCAAAAGAGGTTGGTTACAAATTTATCTTTTTCAAGGTTAGGTACAAAAAATAGATATTCTCATTTTAACAGAGACTTGGCACAACACTGTAGATATCTCTTATAAATTATAATATATCTGGTTATAATGCATTATTACTCTTTAATCAAACGCAATCAAAATGATAGGATTGTTATTTTTATAAAAAAAAATTCTTTTATTGTTGATTTACATGAATCTGATTTTGAAGAGAGTAATATATTAAAACTGTCTGTGATTACGAGGGATAATCCGATAGCTATATATTGTATATACCGTTCACCTTTTAGCAACTGTCTGTAATCTATTAATTGATAGGTTGCGTAATATATTTAATGACTTGGATACTGTATACGAATGCACATTAGTCAGGGCCGGCTCTAGACAAGATGTATAGGTACATAGGCAAAATCAAAATTTGCCGCCCTTTCATTTTTGATCCCTCTATTTACCCCTTGCCCCCCCCCCCCCATATCCTCAAACATATTTACGTCTACTTCGGGCTTAAGTCACAGTATACCTATACGTTATAGTCATAATTTATAATTCACAAAAAAATATTTTATTCAACTATAGATATATAAATAGTACACATTTTTGTTGAAATTGAAATACATTAAACTTAAAAAAAATTTAAAGTGGTATAATAAAGAATCCTACATTTTTAATATTTATATAAATTTTATTTTTCTGGCTTTTAATGTTGCAAACTCTTCTATTATTTCTTCCGTGTCCAATTTGTTTGATACATCCTTTTCAATTGAAAGAACTGCCAGACCAACTAAGCGCATTTGACATATTTGGGACCGCAAATAGTTTTTAATAATTTTCAGTTTTGAAAATGATCTTTCGTTACTAGCTGCAGTTATAGGTATTGCCAGTAAGATCTTAAGTGCTGTGACGACGTTAGGAAAAAGCTCCACTATTTTCCTTTTACATATGTATTCCAAAACCTTGAGTGGATCACTCTTTTCAGTCCTTGAACATCTTTTAAATGCGATAATTTCTTGATGTAATTCTACAGCACTAATATCTGTGTTTAAACCGTCGTTAGAAGTGAGAGAAAGTTGTAGATCCTTGCAGTGTTTTAACAACTCATTTTCATCTTCAATTATTGATATGTTATATAAGAACGAAAATAAACTGTTATGCTCAGATAGCTTATCAAATCTTTCAATTATTGACTGAATACCTGTATCCAAAACTTGATAAAAAAAAATAACTTTGAAGTGAATTTCTGGATCATTTATAGGGAACATCAATCGATTTGAATAATTTATTTTTATGGATATTTTATAAGGATTATTTGAAGTTTAAACAAAGTAAAACGATTTTAGTTATTTTGTTGTAATTTATAAAATATATTATTATTAGCAGGTTANATTTATTACTATACAGCAGAGTGGTAAAACCTTTTTTCTATATGTTTTATTACCTTCCTTCAATAATAAGTTTATTCTACCTACTATAATATTTCATTATAAACTTTATAACATGATTTATACGTTTAAAAGTTAAATAATTGTAACACAATTTTACTCTTTTGAACAATTTCCATCGATTGCACCTTTTTTGTACTTAACCAAATAGATATTCTATTGACACCAATTTTAATGTATATAGGATACAGCTAAAGTAATAGTACGTCTCAATGAATCTGAATTAACTTTTTGTCTGGTGTGTCGAATAAGTGATTAAAAATGTATTAATAAAAACTGCCCAATAATTAGTTGATGAATTTTACAGATCAAAGTAACTTGAATATTGATTTTAATATTGTATTGGTGTGCTGCAGTCAGGAATCGGTGAAACTTTATTCAATGACAAAATATTAAGTTACCATACTTCGTTAACACCCTATATTATTATCGAAAACAAAATAAGTGGCGGCACATGCATTTTGTTACGACTGATATCTGCTTTGAAAACATAAACAACAACTAAACAATCAGAAGGGCTTATAAAAAGGAGTACCTAGCTCTAGAATTTTTTTAAATACTGTTTGTCGGCGAAGAATCATATTGTTAAAAATATGGGTTCAACGGTATTTAAGTCTTATGTCATACTTACAGTGCTATGTATCTGCATGGCTTTGGTCAATAAGTCACAACAAAATCCAGTAAAAGGTAATTATCATTTTGTATTTGCAAACTATGTTTATCATTTAAATTATTCGTATAAATATATGAATATAGTATGTTATAATATATTAATACATGCATTCGTATAAGATAAACTAAACCGTTTAGGTACTTCAGAGATTGTAGACAATATAAATTATGTACGACCAATTAATATCAACGATACACCTACTTACTATTATATATTTCACAATGTATGTTTGTGTAAATATTTAATAAATTTCCTACAAATAAAAAATTATAAATTTAAATTTAAAATCCGGTAATACAAAGTTACGTTTCGTTTTTAACAATTTAAGTTCGACAAAGCTTCACGTAAGAAATGCCAGTATTTACCAACAGAGATGACATGTGAAATTTGTCCATACGTTATAACGTGCCGTTTCCAGTCCATTCTATCTTAGATCATGGTCTTATATATTTTAATGTCCGTTTAATTGAAAGCCAATTTATTGTATTATATTTTTTTTATTATTATTTTATTTTATTTTATTAATTGTACAACGATTACTGAATAAACAAACTTCCTTGTAAAAACAAGTGTATCTCGCACTTTTCAATTATCGTTTTTCGTTAAAAGTCGTGACAGGTAATATTGTGAAAAACAGTTTTTGAAAAAATGTATTTTACGTCATTCAAGTCGTACGTCATACTTAAATTAATATGCATCGGCACCAGGCTGCGATGCACGTGCCTTAACACGTGCCTGTGTTTGAGAAAAATGTATATCTAAACATAAAATGGGGTGTTTCAGAAAAGACTCAAGGAGGCTGCATGAGTAATCTTCTTAGTTGTATAACTCCTAAAACCGGTAATATAGTTTTGATAGCCAGTGTTATTAATTTTTGTCATAATATTAATCTAGTTTTAATACGTTTTTTAGACGAAGGCACTAATGCAGGTACACAAAGTCCCTTTAGATTCTATTGTATTTCTTTATATATTATTTTAGTTCTAGTTTAAATTATTTTTC